ACAGGATAGGCATGTTGCTGCAATGCCTTATTGAGTGTGCATTTGTAATCAGCACAAATGCGAATGTCCCCATTTGCCTTTAGAGGCGTGACAATGGGGGTCTCCCACGGGCTGGAATCAACAGGTTCTAGGATTCCCTGTTGGATTAGTTTGTCTAATTCAGTGTCAATCTTACTTTTTAAAGCAAAAGGGACCCTTCTTGCTTTAATCCTAATGGGAGTGACAGTGGGGTCTAGCTTTAAGGACACAGGTGGTCCTTTGAATGTGCCCAGCTGGGGGCTGAAAACATCTGCAAATTCTTTGCAGACTTCCTGTAGGTCGAGTGTTTGTAAGCTGTTGAGTCCTGTGACGTGTATCCCCAGGGCCTCAAACCAATCGAGTCCTATGAGACTCGTTCGTTCACCCCCTACTACTAATAAGTCTAGTGGACCTTCAAAACTCTTGTATTGCACGTTAAGGGTGGCCTCCCCCTTAACACACACTCTTGAGTTCTGAAAATCTGTTAATACAATATCAGAAGGCCTTAACTTGGCCTTAGTCCCACTACTGGAACAAATCTTCCTAAATGTATGCAATGAAATGATGGAAAGGGCAGACCCTGTGTCTAGTTCCATAGATAATGGAACCCCTTGTAGCTTCACGTTGAGTGACAGCTTTTTCTTCATGGGCTTGTGTGTGCCTGTCCTACAGATGCTTCTTCGCGAAGCGCAAAAACCTACCCTATTCTGGCTGGGGAGTCTGGTACCCTTCAGGCGTTCTTCTTGGGGTTGTGCCTTTCGTCGGCCCAGACACACAGCTGCAATGTGCCCTAGTTTGCCGCATGCCTGGCAGGTAGCGGAGCGGAACTTGCAGTCGGTTCTCCTGTGGCGACCTCCACAGCCGATGCACTTGAGCGGAGCCGAAGAGCTTCCCTTCTGGTTTCCTTCCTTCGCGGGGTGTAGACGGTCGACTTCCTCGTCCGGATCCTCCTCGGAGTTTCGTTGGACGTCTTCCTGGTGCACGGACGCACCCTCTGCACTGCTTCTGATCGGCCGCATGTTCTTGACGGCGCCGCCTACTGCTTCTTCTGCGGTGACTTCCCTTAAGGCGTCTTGGAAGGATAATTCTTCCTTAGCGAAAAGTCTCTGTTGTAGCTCTCGATGCCTTAACCCGCACACGAATCGGTCCCTCAGTCGTTCCTCGAGGTCCTTGAACTCGCAGGGCTTGGCGGCCTTCCGTAACGCGGCGATGTATTCCTTGGCTGACTCACCGGACCGTTGATCCCTCTGTTCGAAGGTGTGGCGCCATGAGATAACGGACACCTTGGGGTGGAAGTGCTCCTTCAACAGCTTCTTCAGGTCTGCGTAGCTTACAGACTCTACTGGGACAGGTGCTGCAAGGTTTTCTGCGATTTCGAAGGTGTCTTGGCCGCAAACGCAAAGCAGGGTGGCAGCCTTCAAGCTATCTTCCGTCACTTGGTTTGCCTTGAAGTAGTTCTCCATTCTGGATACGTAGGACTCCCACCGCTCTGGATGTGAGACATCGAATTCCGAAAGCCTTCCGATTTTCGCCATCTTCGGATCTTCAGGAGACGGGTCTATCAGCCAGCCTACCCCCGAATGCGCACCGGATTGGCGGGCAGCTGCCGAGTCGACGCCGTTCCTCTTCCGCCGCTCAGGACTCCTTGGGTAAGCTTACACTTTTTCCTTTCCAGGTAGTGCAAGGCATCCCATCCTTCGTCGCCAGTGTTGAGTCCGTGGCGGGAAAACAGACACGAGAAGCAGCTGGAGTTCTCAGTTTCTTTTATTCAGCGTTCAGCTTACAGGAAGATGGCTTCAGCCTCGCCCAAACGCCTCGCAGCCTCTTATATAGGCAACTCCCGGGTAAATGGGTTACTTTTCCCGCGCCAGCACCCGCGCATGCGCACGGCGCTGGCGACAGCCTGTCTGGTCCCGGGCAGCTTTGCACCTGCCCGGGACTGCCTGCAAATGCCCGAGCCGTTTGCAAGGCTCGGGACATAACATGATCCCCACTTCTTTGTGGTAGCCTCTCAAATATTGGAACACTGTTATCATGTCACCCTAATCCTTCAATACCCCAAGTTCCTGAGATTTTAAATAAGGTTGTGTTTTGGCTGCACTTTTTTGTTAGTAAAATTGCCATATATTGAAGCAGATTCCCCCCCCCCCACACACCACCACCACCAACATGCCTAGGAGGAAAGTTTATCCTATATATCAGTGGTGGCGAAACTATGGCATGGGTGCCAGAGCCGTCATTCAGAGCCCTCTCTGTGGGCATGCGTGTCGTCACCCCCGTCCTAGCCTTCAGCTGGGTTTTATAAAACCTTTTCACTTTAGGCCTCCGCCGCCATGTGCAAAAAAAAAAAAAAAAAAGGTTCAATCAGTCAATTTCAATTTCTTGTGGGGGGAAAAAAGTTCTTGCAAAGTTGGAATTGATTGATTGAACTTTTTAGTCCCACCCAGTCTGCCGTTACCACTGCAGCCGTGCCCACCCAATGAGCCACACCCACAGCACTCGACAATGCATAAGTGGATTTTGGGTTGCAGTTTAGGCACTCAGCCTCTAAAAGGTTCGCTATCACTGCTGTATATTTTTGCTGAGAGGTTAATCTGGGCTTCTTGGCCTCCAGTTACGCTTTAGCTAAGTATCTGAGAAAACTAATTAGCCAGCAGTTATAGCAAGATCAAGGTTATTAATCTGAAAAAAAGTCGTTGAGATCTAAGGGGAGTGGCACTCCTTGGTAGAACAGATTGCATTTTTTTATATATTGTCTGACTTTTTCCTTGATCTGGTAGTAGAGCTGGATATTATCAATCAAGCTTTGAATTTGACAGCTGGCCAGCAAATGAACAAAGTAGTTTAATGTTTGCATACGGCAGGCGGATATCAAATTCAGCCATTTTATATCTACTGCAATAAAAATGTATTGCTTGTTTTTCCTGCAGTGCTGAAAGTTTAGCTTTAAAATCTACCTCAGGCCTCAAATATTTTTGGAGTAAATTGTTGAGGTCAATACTTAGAACATCCAAGTCCACAGCTTGGGACTTGGATTTTTTTTTTCATTGATGAAATTGGTCCTATCTCAGATCTATCACCAGAATTAGATTATTGAATTATTCACTCAAATGGTTTCTGCTTGGTACCACATTTATTAAACTAGTCTTTTAGACCAGGGGTTCCCAACCGGTGTGCGAGACGATATTGCAGGGGATTATAGTATATGTGCATAATTTGTTGCCATTATTTTGAACTTTTGTAAGGGATGCGAGAATATATCAGAAGTGTTCTAGGGGTGCGGGGTATAGAAAAGATTGGGAGCCGCTGTTTTAGACCAAAGGGGAATTAGGCCAGTTAATTGTTTAATGTTACTCCTGATTTCAAAGTCTAGTTTATAATTATTTTCTCTTAGAACTTTTTAGTTCTTTGAGGTTTTTCTTTTAAACAAATGTTGATCTTGGATATATATGAAAATGACTTAAGAAATGTTAAAATAATGAGGTTGCTTCCTAAATAATGGGGTGAAAAATTGGCTTGAATTTGAATTTTATTTAAAGCATATTTCTAATTGTATTTTTAGAAGTTCTATGACTTGATTAAAGATCAGCTAACTTCTGTCAACAACAATATTAATACTGTTTTAAGAGAACTTCACATATCATAAATTTTGCCCACATGGTGAAAATTTCTCCCTTGTTTTCTGACATTCAATCAATATTTTTAAATCTAACTTTGGATGCAAAGTTAATTGAATCAAGCCATAAATTTTTTATTTTCTGGTTTCTTACACATAATTTTGACCAGAGTAGCAGTTTTACTTTATCAGCTTTATCTTCACAGCTGCCTGCCAAAAATAAATCCCATTATCACACTTATAAATGCCATTTATAATGCTCACTTTAAAATAACTAGCCTAAGAGCCAGTTAGCAGGCTAGAAAGTGGGAGACTGTGAGTTCTAGTCCCGCTTTAGCCGTGAAAGCCAGCTGTGTGGCTTTGGGCCAGTCACTTTCTCTCAACTCAGCCTACCTCACAGGGTTACAGGGAAAATTGTTGTTACAGGGAAAATAGGAGGAAGAAAGTGTGGTGGATATGTTAACTGCATTGAGTTATTTGTAAAAATAATAAAGGCTGGATACAAATACATTTTATGTGATGATCCAGTTTATTTTATTGTCAATGTTATCCCATCTTTGCTGTAACCTTTAGATGCATGTTTTCTTCATGCTTGTGTTTATCAATGTATGTATGAAGATTTCCCCAGAATTTCTGTATTGTTTCTTGCTTTGCTTGGTGTGGGGTATTTTTAAACTTGTTTTACTTAATATGCAGTCCATGTGGATTTACAGATGGGAAGAGTTGGAACTGGATTTACTAATTCTGTCACAAAACACAGAGACTGATTATATTTGAGAGTCAAATATAATCTAGTTGCTAAAGAGAGAAGAGTTATAAATCTCAGTTCTGCTGTGAGAGTACTGATGTCTGTAACCAACTGATTCATTCATCTCTAGTTTCCAAACTTCAGTAGGAAATTGCAAAAGGTGCTTAAAAGCCTTTTGTAACCTTTGCCGTAAAGGCAGGAAACAGGAAATAAACAGGGAAACTATTCGGGAAGAAAAGAAATAGAAAATGCAGCCTAAACTGATGCTTTCACTTGAGAGTTTAAATTTCATCTGGATGGCCCTGCTCATCTGGCATTTCCCATTTGAAGGATTAGAGGACTCCTTTTGGTGGGAAATAATTTTAGGCTGCGTGACTCAATAATCCAAAAAATGTGGTTTGGCCTAGAAAAAGGCTGAGCATTTAGAAAACAGGCTTGAGAAGATGTTTTTCCCTGCCTTTAAGCCACAGGATTTGGTTGCTTTTGTGATACACCAAGGCAGTGGAAAAACTGCACTGTCAGAAATTTCCCAGGAGAGGAGAAACACTAGCAACAGGTGAGGCTGTGAGTTAGAAAAGGTGGAGCAAGCAGCGTCAAACCTCACCTGTCACCTGGGAGGGTGGAGGTTGGAATCGGGAAACAAACAGCGAAACCTGATCAGAAGGAAAGGATCTGGAGATTGCCTAGGCTGATTGTCCAATTATAGAGCCTTTGGTGGACCTCAGGAGTTTGATATTTCTCCTGAAACCTTGAATGGCATAGATCATCTTTGGTTTTCTTTTCTTGAAGATGCCTTATTCCATGGGGAAATAGGACAAGCCAGGTCCTGCATGCCAGCTCTTTCTCTGGCCTTTTGAACCCGCCTGAAACCAGTTGAGACCAGCATCCTGGCTTGCAAAATCTCCCCACTCTAACCAGTCTGAGGGACAGGTCTTCCTAGACTACTCTAGAGACTCTATGGCTCCATGACTTCCTCCAGGAACCCAGAGGAAGAGCACCTTCGCAGTCCTTTCCCTCTTACTCCCCCACCAGCTCTGCGGGATGAGTACTACCCTTTTGGGGATGAGGGCCAGCCCCCCTTTCGCGGGGATGCTGCTGCGGCTGGAGCCACAGGGGAAGGGGATCCCGATGACACAGATCTGGGGGTGCTGCTTCAGAGGAAAGAACAGGACTTGTTGTTGGCAGCAGAATTGGGAAAGATGCTCCTGGAACGTAACGAGGAACTGGAACGACGCTATGATGAACTGATGAAGGAACATTTGGAAGTCAAAGAGGTGAGGCAGGTGACTGGAGTAAAGAGCAGATAGGAGAAGACCTGATACAGACCAACATTCTTTCATCAGATGCAAAATTGCTAGGATTAGGGTTGAGGTTAGGATTAGAGTTAGGTTGGAGTTGAGGTTGGGATTAGGGTTAAATTTGGGGTTGAGATTAGGATAGAGGTTGGAGTTAGGGTTAGATCTGGGATTAGAGTCAGAATTAAAGTCATGGTTGGGATTAGGGTTGGGATTAGGCCAGTGGTGGGATTCAAATATGTCAACAACCGGTTCTCTGTGTGGATGCCACTTCCATTCTGGGCCTAAGCAACAAAAAATTAGCTGTCAAAGTGGTGCAAACCGGCTGAATCCCATAACTAGATTAGGCCACGTCATGTTCTCTCTGTCCAGTGTATTTGCTAGGTTGTTATGAAAAGAAAAAGAAAGTCTCAAAGATAGGATTTTCTTATGTGCTGTGCTGTATTGTACTTTCTTGGCAAAGTTCTGGATTCAAATCCACCCCTTCTTCAGTCTCATTTTGGAACCCTTTACCCTGTCTGCTTCCCAGGTTTGTTTTTCCCATCCTTATTGCCCAGAGTTTATCATTGGGATTTCACTGAGCATCTACACCCCAGCAGCCTTCAAACATCCAACCATATTTTATTCCTTGTTCATCTCTTTGATTTCTTTCCAGGAGGGAGACGATACATTTAGTTGAAAAATAACTTTGGTTGCATAAGGGCATTCTTCGAAGTAGGAATGTGCTGTAGTCTTCCATAGGTTTTCTCACAGCAGGAGTAGCAGTTTGACCTCAATAGTGATATAGAGGTATCTGCTGTATCTCCACACTCTTTGTTCTGAGCACAGATGCATGCCAGGATCCCCATTCACTCCCTTGTATTTACACCTATTTTTATTCAGCACCTAGTAACCACTCATTTTCAAAACTTCTTGTTTTGAAATTGCTTCATGCTTTGCTTTTCTCTTCTCTTCTGTCATTTAATCATTATTTATTTGACTTTATGAACCGCCCGATTCCTACTTCTGGTTGATTTGCCCAATAGCGGTTGATTTGCCTAACTCTTTGAAGCGGAAGAGCTACACGGTGGCCTCCCACAAGCTATGGACAAACATGAACTTGTGACATTTAGGGTGGAATTCTGAACAAAATAAAATAGTGCGCAGGTGCGTGAACCAGCTGCATGTAACTCCACAGTGTGTTCAGGAGTGTGAAGCGGAGTTGCTAAGGAAAAGAGGCTGTGCGAAGTGAACTCCAAAATCCTATGTAGGTACTTTAGTCCTCCACTTACGACCGCAACTAGGACCCAGAATGTCCACTGTTAAACAAGATGGTTGTTAAGTGAGTTGCATCCAATTTTACGATCTTTTTTGCTACGGCTGTTAAGTGAATCACTGCAGTTGTGAAGGGAATCACATGGTCATTAAGCAAACCCTGCTTCCCCCCCAATGACTTTGTTGTTAGAAATGAACTGGGAAGGTCACAAATGGTGATCAAATGACCCCAGGTTGCAGCAACTATCTTAAATGCATGCCGGTTGCTAAGCACCCAAATTCACACAATGCTGTGATGGTCATAAGTGCAGAGGGCCAGTCATAACTTTTTTCAGTGTCATTGTAATGTTTGAACCGTCGCTAAACAAATGGTTGTAAGTAGAGAACTAGCTATATACCCCATCCCGACATAACTCACTGCTGTAGACTGGATTGTGAGGTTGTCTTCCGGAGTTATTTACTAGAGTTACTGGAATGGCAGAGCCATCCCTGCCTCCTGAGGCTGCCTGTGTCTTGTCATCAGATCATGATTTACACAGTTTCATCCCATTGCTTTTCATGTCACAAAACATGAAAGTCGGGAGCTTTGTTTGGCAGAAGCTCCTCTTCCCCCCCCCCACACACTCCCAAGGGCTGTTTCCATTCAGAACTGCAAATCAGAAAACTTTTCCAAATCAGAAAACATTTCAATATATGACTTAACAGGAATGTATTAAGTGGATTTACATTGTGCAGCTAGTCCTTATGATCAGACATGGGACCAGAATTGCCATTGTTAAGCAAGACAGCTGTTAGTCATGACCAATTTTTTTAAAATCATAAAATGGTCATTAAGTGAATCTGGCTTCCCCCATTGACTTTGCTTGTCAGAAGACGGCTGGGAAATGATCACAAATGGCAATCGCATAACCTCTGGATGCTGTAAATACGTGCTGGTTATTTAGCACCTGATTTTGATCATGTGACCGTGAGGGTGCTACAGATGTGAGGATCGGTCCCAAGTCACTTTTTCATTGCCATTGTAACATCAAACAGTTGCTAAACAAATGGTTGTAAATTGAGAACCACTTGTGATCCCACAAGATACAAATCACCAACATGAGAAAGAATGCTTAATACAGTACGTGGAGGTTTTAGACCTCTACTTGAAAAACTGGACAACCATTTGTCTGAAATTGTATAGGGTTTCCTGCCTGAGCAGGGGGTTGGACTAGAAGACCTCCAAGGTCCCTTCCAACTTTGTTATTCTGTTAAAACATTACCCTTTGCTTCAACTGATCATATATCTAAGGCAGGGGTTCTCAACCTTGGCAACTTTAAGACTTGTGGACTTCAACTCCCAGAATTCCTCAGCCAGCAAAGCTTTGCTGGCTGAGGAATTCTGGGAGTTGAAGTCCACAAGTCTTAAAGTTGCCAAGGTTGAGAACCCCTGATCCAAGGCATTGTGCCTATCCCCAGTGAGGAGCAGGTGGACAATAAGTAGAATTAGTGTTTTCCAGATATATGTAGGCTATCCACCATTAGGCCTTGCAGTCCAGCAGATCTGGAAAATTGCCAGGTTAGTTTTCTTCAAGCTGTGCCTACCACATGTTTAAACATTGCTCGTTCTAACATGGGAATTCTTGTTTAGCATGTGCAGCAACATTGGCATCTGCTGGAGTCAACTGTGTTTTTTCAGAGAAGCCAGAGAAATGGACTTTTCAGGAAGTCTACTTTTCCCTGCCTTCTCTCATTGTTTTCCCCTCTCAAACACCTTGCTCTCCAAGTCCTTAACCTCAGATGGAACAGATACCAATTAGGGACTTTCTGGACACACTACCCATGGCAACTGGGAGAACCAGTTTGGCCCAGAGGAAGTCACTGCAGAAGCAATGTGAGTCTGCTACCAGGGTGGATATAATTAGCTAAGAGGGAAAGAAGGATATAAAAGTGACTGAAACTGGCAGGAACAGAAGTGAGAAAGCACCCAGTGTGAATCACTCTGTTTCCACAGGACCTCACCCACCAAATATTCTGCAAAGGGCTGTGGCTCTTTTTAAGCCATGGCAATTACAGCTTTACGACACTCTTGCAAAGCAGTGTTCTTTTGCTGTCCAAAGCCTGCTTGACTGTTGTTAGTGTGATCCTCTTAGGAGATCTACCTTCCCATACTTCCTCCAGGTGTGCGTAAATGGAGTAAGATTCCTTTTTTAAAATACTTGTCCCTCTGTGTGCATTTGTATTTTATTGGCACTGCCTGGGGAAACTGCTGCTGGGGAAGTTGACAACCTGTTCATTAGAGATTATATAGCCTGTGGAATCTGTTGCTGTAACTTGATTTCCAGGAGAGTTCAACAAAAATCCAAGCAAAGGAAGGAAAAATAGAAAAAAAAAAACCCAATAACTTTAATTATTGCTAGGCAGCAAATAAAACAAGCTACAAGACAAAACACAAGATTGGCAGTAGCAGCAGGCTGCAATTCATTTACTGTTTGTTTACTCTCAGCCACTAATTGGTGGATTGCTGGCAGAAAACAAGGCAGCTAACCTGGCAGGTCTGTTTTTTGCTGGCAAGCAAGCAACAAGTTGTACCATTGTGGTGTCTCAGCACATGCAGTAAAGTCTCCACATAAGGTCTGACCCACCCTGGCTTCATATCCCAGGCACATAAAATTTCTGTATAGGTAGTCCTTGATTTATGACCACAATTGGGCATTTCTGTTGCTAAACAAGGCAGTTATTTTACAGCCATTTTTTGCAGAGGTTGTTAAAAAAAATCACTGCACTTATTAAGTGAATCATGCAGTCATTCAGAGAATCTGGCTTCCACCACTGAGTCTCCTTGTTGGAATCTGGCTTAGAAAGTTGCTAGTGGCAATCACACAACCCTGAAACATTGCTACCGTTTGGTCTAGTGCAGAGGTATGCAACCTTGACATCTTTAAGACTTGTGGACTTCAGCTCCCAGAATTCCCCAGCCAGCATAGCCAACTGGGTGACTTTGGGCCAGTCACTCTCTCTTAGTCCAACTCACCTCACAGGGTTGTTGTGAGGGAAAATAGATGAAGGCGTTTTGTCTCTGTTCGCTGCCTAATTTTTAAAAGTAGTAAATGTGGACTACAAACAAACAATGGCAAAGGCATGTCAATGGCAAAGTGGCCTTCTTTTGATTGTGTGATAGTAAGGAATGCTGCAACCATCATAAGTGTGTGAGAACCGGCTATAAGTCACATTTTTTCAGTTCTATTGCAACTTTGAACAGTCACTAACTGAATGGTTGTTAAGTCGAGGACTATCTGTATAGGGCAGTGGTTCTCAACCTGTGGGTCGGGACCCCATTTGGGGTCGAACGACCATTTCACGGGGGTTGCCAAAAAACACAGTCCGCCATTTTTTTCCCCTTTTCCTTAGCTGTGCTACTCCCTTTTATTCTATTGGCTTTTGAAAGCCAATAGAATAGACTCTCTTGAATCGAGTCTAATTCTATTGGCTTTCAAAAGCCAATAGGAATTGTCCAGGCTGTCTCTGCCCTGCTGAGCCCGCCAAAAGTCCCATTCTGCAAATGGTGCAGCACCAGTTGAGTAGTCCTCGACTTACGACCGGTTGAGTAGTCCTCGACTTACGACCGGTTGAATAGTCCTCAACTTAAGACCGGTTGGGGGTCGAGGCATTAAAAAGGTTGAGACCACTGGTATAGGGTGAGGCCAGCTGTACCTTGTGGCACTCAGTTATGGATAATTCGGCTAGAAAATTCTTGAATAGGGTGACTTCCTCTATGGCAGTGATGGCGAACTTTTTAGAGACTGAGTGCCCAAACTGCAACCCAAAACCCACTTATGCATCATCAAGTGCTGGGTGGGTGTGGCCCATTGGGTGGGCGTGGCTGTGGTGGTAACGGCAAACTGGGTGGGACTAAAAAGTTCAATCAATCAATCAATTCCAACTTTGCAAGATCTTTTTTTTCCCACGAGAAGTTGAACTTGACTGAACCTTTTTTTTTTTTGCACATGGCAGTGGAGGCCTAAAGCAAAAAGGTTTTATAAAACGCAGCTGAAAGCCTAGGACTGGGGTGACGGTACGTGTGCCCAGAGAGAGGGCTCTGAGTGCCGCCCCTGGCACCCGTGCCATAGGTTCACCACCACTGGTGTAGGTTCTCCTGCTCAGGCAGAGGGCTGGACTAGAAAACCTCCAAGATTTCTTCCAGTTCCATTCCAGTTCCATTCCATTCCATTCTATTCTATTCTATTCTATTCTATTCTATTCTATTCTATTCTATTCTATTCTATTCTATTCTATTCTATTCTATTCGGCAGTGGTGGCGAACCTATGGCACGCGTGCCAGAGGCAGCACTCAGAGCCCTCTCTGTGGGCACTTCTCTGAAGTGCTGGTGGTGGACTGCGGAGCCCTAGATTGCGTCAGTCGAGAGGCCATCAGGCTGTGGTTGCCGACAGACACTGTCGGCCCCCATGCGCTCACTGGCCTCTGTGTGCAGGGGCCGATGGTATCAGGCAGCAGCTGCCCCGACCCCTTCCTTGCCTTGCCCTGAGATAATAGCACCCCCACTCTGCCTCACTTCACCCCACAGGACGAGCCTCCTACCCACCACCCCACCTGCCAGAGACCCCCTGGATCTCCCCCAACCCTTCCTGGCCCCCACAGGCATTGCTCCCCATGAACAACATTGAGGTGACCACGCCCATCTTGGCCACACCCACCCAGTCTGCCATGACCACCACGGCCATGCCCACCCAGTGGGCCATGCCCACCTGGCACCCAGCAATAAATAAGTGGGTTTTGGGTTGCAGTTTGGGCACTCGGCCTCTAAAAGTTTCACCATCACTGACCTACACCGTCTCAGACCTCTAGTGATGGTCTCAGACCTCCAGTGACGGAGCACCCACGATTTCTGGGGGTAAGCTGTTCCACTGGTCGATTGTCCTCACTGTCAGGAAGTTTCTCCTTAGTTCCAGGTTGCTTCTCTCTAGTCAGTTTCCAACCATTGTTTCTCCTCCTTCCCTCTGGTGCTCTGGTGAACAACCTGGCCCCCTCTGCCTTGTGGCAGCCCCTCAGATACTGGGACACTGCTATCATGTCTCCGCTGTTTCTTCTTTTCTTTAGACTAGCCAAACACAAATCCCGTCGCCGTTCTTTGTATGTTTTAGCCTCCAGGCCTTTGGTCATCTTAGATGCTCTTCTCTGAATTTTTTCCAAACTCTCAACATCTTTTTTGTGATATGGTGACCAAAACTGGTTGCAGTATACCAGGTGTGATCTTAATAGGGCTTTATAAAGCGGTAATAGTACTTCGCGTGATCTTGATTCTATGCCTTTCTTCCCAAATTACTTGGGCTGCCCCAGGGACCTTCTGACTCTCAATAATGGACCCTTGTCTTTCTTGTGGGACTTGGCTGCAGAGTCAAAGTTCACGTTAATACTTCGTGTCCATCTGCATGAAAGACTAATGAGGCAGGGCCACTTTTCTACATGCAGAAGCAGGTTGGGTTGGCAATTGAAACTTAATTCCAGGTGATACCCACTGTCACAGCCAAGGCAATTGGCTGGTTTAGGGAGCCATAAGATAGGCCAGATGGCTTGAGTCAATCTGGCTTTTGTTATATGTTCTTAGACTCTTCTGTCACAGGGGCTGGCAGTTTGACCTTCCCTAATAACAGGAAGGTCCTGTCTCTGGTGCCCAGTGAGATGCTGCCTCAAAAGAAAGAAAGAAAGAAAGAAAGAAAGGGTTACATTCATGAAGCTTTTGAAAAAAATGATTTTTGCATTCAAGAGTAGAGCCTGGAGCTTATGGTGTCCTGTTTTCAGAATTGCTGACTGTAGGATGTCTACCATCTGGTGTCCTCCAGATATGATGGACTCTCCTTCCAGTATTTTGCATCTGATGTTGAATGCAGCAGATCTCTAAAAAGTCAGATTTTATAAAAAATGAGAGCTTCTAGAGAAACTTTGAGCACTGAGCTTTGAACAAATCCAGCCTGAAGTCCTGGAAATTGGGACCACTCAGGGAAATGCAGCAGATTTAATGGACAGCAAGGCTAGCAGAGACCTCTATATCCCTGTGCTCCAATTTAATACCACAATTTGGCTGAAGGTTTAATAATTTTTGCTAATAATTAAAGAACACCTAGAGCCAGGGGTAGGCAACCTTGACTCTTTTATGACTTGTGGACTTCAACTCCCAGAATTCCTGAGCCAGCATGGCTCAGCTTGGAAACTCTCCCTTTCCCCTCAGCATGGCTAGCTCAGGAATTCTGGGAGTTGAAGTCCACGAGTCATAAAAGAGCCAAGGTTGCCTACCCCTGACCTAGACCCTGAAAAGATTTCTCTTTCCAACTGAAAATCATTCATGGGTTACATCTGAATATGTATTCTGAATAGGGAAGATGGCTTACCAGTTGTAGAGCTTTTTGTTTACATAATTAGGGCATTTGATATCTAATCATCTTTTTACTCTTCCTTAAAATCATCCTTTGAGATAGACCAAAATAGTCCTCGACATTTGACCACAATTGAGCCCAAAATTTCTGTTGCTAAGCAAAACAGTTGTTAAGTGAATTTTGCCTCACTTTGTGACTTTCTTGCTTCAGTTAAGTGAATCACTGTAGTTGTTAAATTAGTAACAGGATTATGAAGTGAATCTGGCTTCCCCATTGACTTTGTCTGTCAGAGGATCGCAAATGGTGATCACATGATGCCGGGTCACTGCAATCCTCATAGATATGAACCAGTTGCCAAGCATCTGAATTTTGATCACGTGACCGTGAGGATATTGCAACAGTTATAAGAAAAATGGTCATGTCACTTTTTTCAGTGCTGTTGTAACTCCGAACAGTCACTAAATGAACTGTTGTAAGTCGAGGACTACCTGTATCAAAAATTTGAATGCTTAGTACAGGGGTAGGCAACCTTAGCTCTTTTATAACTCGTGGATTATGCTCAGGAATTCTTGGAGTTGAAGTCCACGAGTCATAAAAGAGCCAAGGTTGCCTATCCCTGGCTTAGTAGAAGGCGAAATTTGAAGTCAAGATACTCTGGATCCCAGATCACCTTCTGAATCCTTCTTCTACACCGGCCTTGAGTCCTCTCCTCCTGGCCCTCACATCTCTGCTTTGCTTTCTGCAGCATCTTGAACAAGAGAAACATGAACTCCGGCGACACCTCAAATCAGGCCGGGCAGAATTTGAGACCCGGACGGCAGAGCTGGAGGCTGACTGGGTGGCCGCCCGAGCCCAGCTGGGGCAGAAGCGTCTGGAACAGCAGGACACCAGTCGAGAGAGCTCACAGGCGGTCTTGGACCTTTCAGAGCAGAATCAACGTCTGGTGGAACAGCTCAGTCAGGTGAGGTGGAACTTTGACGGGGGTTTTGTCTACCCTATTGGGAAGGATAAGGGCTAAGAGGGAGGCCTTCTGGTGTATTTCACCAGCTGCAGAGCGGTTAGGTCAATCAACAGAGAAAGTTCTTTTATGGACAAGGAAGCACCATGTTAATTTTATTCATGCAACAAATCAGTCAAAGGTTGCTTCTGCTTCCCATTCCTTGCCCATGAAGGTAAAGGGGCAAAAGATCAAATTTATGACTGCAATCTAGTAGGTTTTGGTTCTCAATGTTCTTGTTAAGAGAAGAGGAAGCTTGGCTTCTAGGCTAAAGGCCTATACTGTAATATATTTTAGCATACTGTCATATCCAGCAGTTGAGAATATATGAGGCTCAAGGTTGAGCTGACAAGTTCTTAATGTTCTCTGGGCTTGGCTGTTTTCCTGCAGATGTTTAATAAACATCCAGCCTGGGAAACAGGGAAACAAGCAAGAACTCAACGCTGGATATGAGTCATCTGGATTAGAGGCTGAGGTTGTTTTCAGGTGAATCACTCATGTTAAAAAAGGTGTACTGAGTACCCTGAAGGGGATTCTATAAGTTTCAGAGGAAAGTAAAAGATGGCCGAATGAGGTGCCATCTTTTAAAATATCTCACGTCTTGTTTGATCTGCTGGTTGCAGAAATGCACAAGAGATGGAGGATTCAAATCACTGAAATCTCAGACGTGTGTGTCAGGCTAAGCCATTGTAAATCTTAAAATAAATCAGTGTGGTCAATCTTGCTGAGTTCATAGACCTTTGCTGAATCCCATCCTTGTTAAAAAGGCTAAATTCACCAGTATCCGTAAATGGAATATTGTGGGTAGGGGTAGGAAGAGATAAGGAGAGGAATCTTCCCTAGCCAAGTTCCTTCCAAAAGTTAAGCTACAATTTCCATCATCCTGGCCTATATCACACTGGAAAACTTACCAAGCCTCCATCTCCCATCAGTCTCAAGCTCTTGGTATGAATGATGGAGATTGTAGTTCACCAATATTTGAAAAGTCCTAGGGTCCCCACAGGTGAGGTGAATGATGTTAAACATTTTTGAAATGGGGACTTCATTTTTCGATGCAAATAAAAGTTCCTTCTCACTGCAATAACAGCCCAGTGGATGGAATTAGATCAAAAAACATCTGAGTCACATTATATTGTTCCTGTAACAGCACTAACAAGACTGGCAGGATTCTAACAACGTAGGAATCTAACCACAAGTAAGATAAGAAAGTCAAACAAGTGACGATAAGGGCTCTAAAATACTCCCTGCTCTCAAAAGTTAAATGAAGAGATGACATCATAGATAAAAAAAACCATTTAAAAATTAAAGTCACTGGCCTAATTCTTTTTGTGCCTTTGCATTTCTGAAATTTATTAATGGGATGTAAAAGTGGGTTTAGGGTTTCTTTTTGTAAAATGGACAATTATATTGTTCGGTGGCACACAGCCAAAGTATTACTGAAATCTAGTAAAGGTAAGTCTTCAATGTACGGCCTCAACTGAGCCCAAAATTTCTGTTGCTAAGCGAGACAGTTAAGTGAGTTTTGCTCCATTTTATGACCTTCCTTGCCACAGTTGTTAAGTGAATCATTGCAGTTGTTAGGTTAGCAACACAGTTGTTAAGTGAATCTGGCTTTCCCATTCACTTTGCTTGTCAGAAAGTTGCAAAACGGGATCACGTGACCCCAGGGCACTGCAGCTGTCATAAATAAGAGCCAGTTGCCAAGCATCCAAATTTTGATCACCATAACCATGGGGACGCTACAATGGTCGTAAGTGTGAAAAAAGGTAATAAGTCACTTTTTTCAGTACCATTGTAACTTCAAATGATCACTGAATGAACTGTTGTAAGTTGAGGACTACCTGTAGTATTCTCTTTCTCTTATTAATATTTGATACTTGCATTGGTGTCCAATAAAGCCAGCAAACTAAGAAGTTGTTTGATTAAAATATATTTGTGCAAATCTTTATTTTTCTTTTAATATTCAGGCTTGGAGTCTGTTCTTATCTTTGGGAAATTAAGGCAAAGTAAAGCCTGCATATCTTAGAGATACTGTTAGGGGGCCTTAAGGCAAAGATCAAACCAAGTCTCTTGGCTCAGCTAATAAGAAAGAGGGACTCCTAGTTATGACTTTTTTCCAGAAACAACATCCCCTTAAAAAGTTTGTAGCTCAGTTGCAGATGTTCATGTCCCAAGTCATTAAATTGATAAGGAAAGGCATTCTTTACATATGCTAACAGGACATTCTTCCTTAGACAACTACCCAGTACACATTTCACACAGTTTTTTCATGAGCCTGAGTATTGGATTGCACTGATAGTCCTCCTCTTATGACCAGTCACTTAGCAACCATTCAGAGTTACAGTTGACGTACAGGTAGTCCTCGATTTATGACTGCAATTGAGCCCAAATTTTCTGTCATTGTTAAGTGAATTCCCCTCCCCATTTTATGACCTTTCTTGCCACATGTGTTAAGTGAATCACTGCAGCTGTTAAGTTAGCAACATGGTTTTCAATGAATCTGGCTTCCCCACTGACTTTGCTTATCAGAAGGTCACAAAAGGTGATCACATGACCCCGGGACACTGCAACCGTCATAAATACGAGTCAGTTGGCAAGCGTCTAAATTTTGATCGTGTGACCACAAGGATGCTGCAATGATTATAAACATGAAAAACAGTCATAAGTCACTTTTTTCAGAGCTGTTGTAACTTTGAACAATAACTGAATGAACTGTTGTAAGTCGAGGACTACTTGTTCCTGGGAGCTACGTACAACCCAGGTTTGAAGCTCAGCCAGTCCCCTCCCCAAGTAATGTGACTGAACTTCAGGCTCTTAGCAACTTGACCCCACTTAACGGCTGCTTGCAGCATCCCATGGTCAACTGATTGTGCTTTGCAATGATTTTGCCAAAATTCAGCACTTCCACTTTGGGGCAAAACTGCACCCATCGTGAACTCTTGGTTTGCTTAATGACTGTGTTTGTTTAATGACCATGGTAACTGCTTTATGATCCCCGTGTGAGTTAAACAACCATCACAAAATAGATTGCAAAATTGGGTTAGTCACCTGGTTGACCTTTTTTACAATTGTCATGACTTACGAATGGGAAGGGCAGAGTCTATTATAGTCGTGAGACAAGGACTACCTGCATTTGGAGGCGAAGCACATTTTGCACCATCCAGAGCCAAGAATAGCTTGGAAAAGAGATTTAAAGAAGCTCCCCTGTTATCAAATCCTAACCAAGAGCTGTCTGCTCCATCCCCTATAATAGGTCACTCACTTGGAGCAGCAGCTCCAGGAAGATCTGGCTGTATTACGTGCAGAACATCGGACCCTGAGCCTTTGCAATGCTGAGCATGCTGCACGGATGCAAAGTCTGCAAGCTGAGGTAAGAAAAAAGGCTGTCGATTAATGCCCCTCTTTGGGCCAGGGATGGCAGGCAGATAAAAGACTAATCCTTTCTTTTCCATCACTCTAGGGGTGTTATAGCTTAATCTGAAAATGGTTGATTTAGCATGCACAGTCTTATTGCGTGAGATAACCTGGGAGTAAGTTGAAACTCAAGTACTTTGGCCACCTAATGAGAAGGAAGGACTCACTGGAGAAGAGCCTAATGCTGGGAAAGATTGAGGGCAATAGAAGAATGGGATGACAGAAAATGAGGTGGCTGGATGGAGTCACTGAAGCAGTAGGCGTGAGCTTAAATGGACTCCAGAAGATGGTGGAGGACAGGAAGGCCTGGAGGAACATTGTCCATGGGGTCGCGATGGATCGGACATGACTTCGCAACTAACAACAACAAAACACAGTAAACAGTCTATAGTAAATGGTGGTTTATCTTACACTATCTACAATATCATACACCAGGAACAATATACATACATGTGCTAATACAGCAGGATCCAACAAACCACAGTTACAGCAGGAAACGGAAGAGAGAGAACACGTCAGTGGAGCCTTCCCTTTATACAAAGGCTCTTAAAGAGACACAGACGCTGCTGGGTCATTCCCATCATTATATCTTATATCTTACATTATATAAGTGGGTTAGCTGTTAAATCAATACCTTGACAACACACACTAAACTGGTAACTGATGACTCAGAGCTACTGTACTAGATCTAGGCTTCAAAAATACTGACAACCATCTGATGGCAGCACACACTTGGTGTTTGCTGCCATTTTGCTGCCATCTAGAAGTCATCTGGAATTCTGCAGCCCCCATCTAGTAGCCCTAAACAACTCTCCCTTCTGTTCTCAAACCTATGTTGCACAGTTCAGGTTGGCCAAAGCTAAAGAAAGGACATGGTTTGTTGTGTTCAAGTTGGTCTTCCTTCCCTCTTCATACACATTCTGTTTCTGAAACAAAGAAGCCATGCCCTCCAACTCTTAAAAACATCCAATAGTCCAGGGGTTCCCAACCCAGTACTAGGCCTTGAGTCTTTCAGAACTGGGCCATGGAAGTGGCAGGTGAACATGTGTGTTCATGCATGCATTCACACTTATGCAAGCAGTGGGCAAGCATGTTTGTGTGGCACTCCATTTGCCCAAGAAGTGGATGCATTTGCCAATGCAAATGGAGTTGCAAACACGCTCACCAACTTCTTACACAAAACCATCCCCTCCCCCCCACTTGCTGGTCCACAAAGCCAAAAAGATTGGGGAATTCTGCAATAGCCCCATGTCTGTCCTATTTGAACATCTGATTCTAAACATCACTGTGAAAGTCTTCATCTGTAGAGGCAATAATCAATCTTTGAGTTCCTTCAGCCCCCAATATGATTGATTCTTAGCATGTATCCTAGGTCTTTTTCCCCCCAAGATTCAGGAAATGCTGGGCAATTTGGAGTCTCTATTTATATTTCCTACAAAGCCCTTGAGCATCACTCTGGAGCATTGTGGAATCCTTAAGTAAACCTCTTTTTCTGAAGAATTGCAATATTAATACAGTAGAATATATAATCACGAGAGGATGCCCAGTTCTCAAAAATTGCTGATGGAGCAGCAGATTTGATTATGTCAAGGAAAATGTGTTAGTCACTGAATGGAAGCCATTTTGAGAAGTACAGGTAGTCCTCGACTTATGACCATTTGTTTCGTGACTGTTCAAAGCTATAATGGTGCTGAAAAGAGTGACTTATGATCAATCACAGCATCCCTGCAGTTAAGTGATCCCAATTTAAGCGCTGGGCAACCAGCATCTATTTACAAAGGTCATAGCATCCTGGGGTCATATGATCACCATTTGTTACCTTCCCAGGTAGCTTCCAACAAGCAAGGTCAATGGGGGAAGCTAGATTCACTTAATGACTGTGTGATTTGCTTAATGACCCTGGCAAAAAAGGTCATAAAATCAGGTGTGGTCACATGATGATTCACCTAACAAATGCATTGCTTAGCAATGGAAGTTCCAGTCACAATTTTGGTCATAAGCTGAGGACTATCTGTATTACATCAACAACTTTGCATGTACAAAAAGATGGAGGATGAAAACCTGTGTTTGAGGGGTCCTTGGTGCTCTCTGAGCTTGGTTGATTTCTTGCAGATGTTACAATTACCCAAACTAGGTAACATCCTTTGTTACAATCCTTTATTACAGGCATGTCAAACTGCCGGCCCGCGGATCAGATGCATCACACCGAAACCGTGCCGGCAATGGGAAAAAAGTCGCGATACATCGTGTGACGCCACGAGTTTGACATGCCTGCTTAATTAGGAACCGTGATGATGCAGTGGTTAAAATGCAGCATTGCAGGATAACTCTGTCTATAGCCAGGAGTTGGATCCTGACCAGCGCAAGGTTGACTCAGCCTTCCACCCTTCTGAGGTCGATAAAATGAGGACTCAGATTGCTGCGGGCAATATGCTGACGTTTGTATACCGCTTAGAGAGGGCTATATAAAGCAGTATATAAGTGCTATTGCTATTTGTTCTTCAGTGGGTGCAATCTCCTATTACAAATGGATAATCTATTGCCCAATCTGAATTGGCAACCCCACTTTGGTGATATCTATTATCTATTATCTTTTTATTTTATTTTAACAAAGATAGGTATACAGTATTATTCCAGATTTTCTGGGTTTGGAAGAAAACTTTTCTACTTTTCCCAAACCAAAACTGGGCTCGAGGCATTGAGCTGACTGAGCAGGGAATGGTGATATGGAGCTGATCTTTGAAGTGTTCCCTCCTTTCTTATGTTCATTTCTGATGTCTTCCTTCGCAGAATCGTCTGCTTCAAGAGCGGAAGCAAGATATGGAGAAACAGATCCGTCGGCTTCGGGAGGAGAACGAATCCATCCAGGTGCTGGTGGACACGTTACACGACAACCTCCTCCTTCTCCGCAAAGAGAGCTGTGAAAAGCAGCTGCGGGTATGTGGTTTATGTACTTGCACATAAAAAGGTTACTTTTCAGGGGAAACAATGGCCAGTCTTGAAATGGGATGAAACTGAAAGAGATATGAAACCACTGATGGGAAAATGAGTCACCCTGGGGCGGTTATGCACAGAATTAGGAAGAAGAATTCCATGAAAGCAGCCGCATCTCGGGGAAAAATTCTTCCCCAGAAAGCTATTTTCATCCTCTCTGCTTCCTGTTTCTCTTCCCATCCAAAGTTTAAACAGGTAGAAGCAGAAGCTGAGGAACTCCGGACTGCCAATCGGCGCCTCCAGCATCAGGTCAAAGATTTGAAGGAAGAGATCCGTCTTCATGAGTTAGATACCTCTGTTACTTCCATCCAATCTGAGATTGAAAGCAGTTTAGGCGATGCTCCAGGAGCCCCTGGACAGACACCAAAGGTAAACTAGAAGGATACACCTGAGAAGGGAGGTTCAGATTCCCTTTTTAGTGTCACTGGGGAAATTTTCAATGTCAAAAGAAGGTTGTAATTTGTGTGCTAATTTGAGAGAGCGCGCAGCATTACACATACCTGACCAATCCTTCCCAAATTTCTATGGCAGGGATAGGCAACCTCGGCTCTTTTATAACTTCAACTCCCAGAATTCCTGAGCCAGCCATGTTGAGGGGACAGGGAGAGGTTTCCAAGCTGAGCCATGCTGGCTCAGGAATTCTGGGAGTTGAAGTCCCCGAGTCATAAAAGAGCCAAGTTTGCCTACCCATGACTTAGGTGAAAACGTCATTAAACTGGGCATAATTCACTTAACAGTCATCTTGCTTAGCAAAAGAAATTCTGGTTCGAAATGTGATCGTAAATTGAATACCTGTATTCAAAATATATTGATTGGGACATCTGAAGCATGTTATCTTCATACGTAGCTGGAACAAATTATAAGACACTTCTGCCCAGCACAATATTCGCTCTTGTTTCCAGCCATAATGCCTCACCACCCAATTGGAAAATGACCTTTGTATATCTTCCATTCTGTGAGACTTGAAACAATGGAAAAAGACAAGGAACACCGTGAGCCAGTCAGTCAGTTCTCTCATCACTGGATCAAGAAGGAACCCTAAAACTGCGACTTAAATAATGTCTGGTTGCAGAGCTGTCCGGTCGCCTGAATGATTACAAATCCTCTCACTCATAGCCTATGCACAGACCATCACTGTTTTATTTTCTAAAAGACATAAATTGCCTCCACACCTGCCAGATGTTTAATCTTGTTTGGCAGTTGAAAATAATAATAAATAAACGAACTCTTGTCGTGGAAGCCACTGGGCTCTGAAAATAACATCTCTTCTGTCCTCATCAAAAAGCCTCTGAAAAGAGTAATATTAGAACAATAGTAGGGTGATAGGTGTTCTCCTGAGCCCAGGTAGGCTTATTCCTAACAAACCATGCACACAATTGCAATTTGGTCCAAAGGGAGATAGTTGGTATCTTAATGCAACATGGGAGACACCCATGAAGACTTGTCCTGGTGAGATTCACATGAAGACAATGTGGCTGTATAAATAGTCCTTGGCTTACAACCACAATTGAAACCCACAATTTCCATTGCTAAGCAATACAGTTGTTTTGCCCTGTTTTACGACCTTTCTTGCCACAGTTGCTGAGTGAATCACTGCATTTGTTAAGTTGGTAACAGGATTGATAAATGAATCTAGGTTTCCCGCTGATTTTTGCTTTTGCAGAAGGTTGGAAAAGGTGATCACCCGACCACGGGATACTGCAACCGTCATGAATACATGGTAGTTGCCAAGCATCCAAATTTTGACTATGGGGACGCTGCAGTGGTTGTAAGTGTGAAAAACAGTCATAAGTCACTTTTTTCAATGGCATTGTAACTTTGAATGGTCGCTAAACGGATAGTTATAAGTCTCCTACTTTCTAGCACTAAGCTTTCTGACTCCTTGGGCGGGCATCTATTTATCTGCTTTAGTCAATCACCCACGGCATCCACAAGACTGGTTCCACTCCAAAGAAGGCCTCTCCAAGACTGGAGGAGAACATCTCTGAATACACCAAAAGGGTTTCGGCCTTGAGCCATCAGCAGCAAGACATCCTGGCCCAGAAAGAAATGGAGATAGCGAAACTCCAGGATCAGGTAATCTGGCGCTGTACTTCTCTCTTAATAATAATAATAATAATAATAATAATAATAATAATAATAATAATAATAACAACAACAACAACAACAACAACAACAATAAAAAGTTGAAAGGGACCTTGGAGGTCATTTAGTCAGGGAGGAAACCCAGTGTTGGAGAATTCACAACTTCTGGAGGTAGGTTATTCCACTGATTAATTGTTCTAACTGTCAGGAAATTTCTCCTTAGTTCTAGGTTGCTTCTCTCCTTGATTAGTTTTCATCCATTGCGTCTTGTCCTGCCTTCAGGTGCTTTGGAGAATAGCTTGACTCCCTCTTCTTTCTGGCAGCCCCTGAGATATTGGAACACTGCTATCATGTCAACCCTCGTCCTTCTCTTCGTTAAACTAGACATACCCAATTCCAGCAACCGTTCCTTATATGTTTTAGCCTCCAGTCCCCTGATCATCTTTGTTGCTCTTCTCTGTACTCTTTCTAGAGTCCTTTTTACATCGTGGTGACCAAAACTGGATGCAGTATTCCAAGTGTGGCCTTACCAAGGCATTATAAAGTGGTATTAATACTTCACGTGATCTTAATTCTATCCCTCTGTTAATGCAGCCTAGCACTGTGTTGGCTTTTTTGGCAGCTGCAGCACACTGCTGGCTTAATATTTAAGTGATTGTCCACTAGGACTCCAAGATCCCGCTTATAGTTGCTACTATTGAGCAAGGTGCCACCTATACTATACGTGTGCATTTTTCTTGCCTAAATGTAGAACCGTATTTATGGGAGGCCAATCTCTTGTGTAGCTTGGGGAATCGCACATTGCATGTCTTCTTCTCCATCCCTAGGTGACCTTGCAATACGTGGAGCTCAGCGGTTTGAAGTCTGAGATAGAGAACCAGAGGCGGCTATACCAAGAAAGCAATCGGGACAAGGCCTTGAAGTTAGCTGTAGCAGACCGGGATGAGGCTATATTCAAGTGAGCTCTGACGATTGGCTTTGCAAACCACATACACTGTATTGATTTGACTTAATGATCCTTCGTTTAGCAACCATTCAGAGTTACAAAAAAAAGTAATTTATGACTGGTCCTTGTACTTAGGATCGTTGCAGCATCCCCCACAGTCATGTGATCAAATTTGGGTGCTTGCAACCAGCACGTTTTTAGAATGGTAGCAGTGTCCCAAGGTCATGTGATCACCATTTGCAACCTTACAAACCTGCTTCTGACAAGAAAAGTCAATGGCGGAAGCCAGATTTGCTTAGCAACCCTATGATTCACTTAACAACCATGGTGATTCACCAAATGGCTATGTCAAAAAAATAAAGCAGTCGTGATTCACTTAACATCTGCCTAGCTTAGCAACAGAAGTTCCAGTCCCAATTGTCATAAATTGAGGACTATCTATAATCCCTTTGCTCCTGATACTATGATTGCTGCTGGGCTCGTTACCTGTCAAAGCAGCTGGACCAGCCTGTCTATCATGGAGAGGCAACTTTCAAAGTCCCCGGAAGTCATTAATAAAGCCACTACATTTGGAGTTATCAGATTGGGGAAAACTGAGTTAGACCCAATCATATGGGCTCACTGACAAGGCAGATTAAACGAGACTCATATGGGCTCATCTTCCAAGGCAGTTTACCATAGGCTAGGGGTAGGCAACCTTGGCTCTTTTATGACTCGTGGACTTCAACTCCCAGAATTCCTGAGCCAGCCATGTTGAGGGGAAAGGGAGAGGTTTCCAAGCTGAGCCATGCTGGCTCAGGAATTCTGGGAGTCATAAAAGAGCCAAGGTTGCCTACCCCTGCCATTGGTTAATGTTTCCCAACCTTGCCACCTTTAAGATCTCTAAACCTCAACTCCCAGAGTTCTTTAGCCAGCCTGGCTGACTGAGGAATTCTGGGAACTGAAGTCCACACATCTTAAATCTGCCAAAGTTAAGAACCACTGTTCCATGGCAGGAGCCATTATGGAATGGAGATACCCTTCTCCATCCCAGTTAGGGCTCCCTCATTATGTGAGAACAAAAGCTAGAATTTGTACTTTGCTGTAAATGCAACTAAAAAATAATCAAAGTTATAATCTCTACCATTACATTGATGATGTTACATAGTTTAGGTAATGAAATGTCTGCAAGAAAACAGCCAAGCTCCTCATTTTAACCCTAAGCTACAAATATTCTCCTTTTTTGCCACCATTGCATTTTCTTACAGTGAATGGCCTTATTTATGATGATGGTACATTATTACGAGGGTTGAAAGGATGGAAATGAGACCTTGGAGGAAATCTTTATGCATCGGCCTTGAATCTTTCCAATTTTAGCCAAATCGTGTTCCTTTTCTGCTTATCAAACTTATTCAACCTGAATAAACTTGCTGACTTCACTATACACTCTGCAAAGGTTGCTTGTTTGAACAACTGTAATGTTTATTGCTAGCGGGTTAATTAATAACAGCAAAACCGCACCTTTAATGGAATTGCCACACAATAACACCAAATTTGAAGTCACTGCACTGATACTATTAGACTAGAAAATTCAATTGAAAATGCTGCCCATTTCCTAAAAAGCTTTTTTATAGCATAGCACCAGGTTATATCAGAACCAAAGGAGAATCCAGCAAGGACACATTTAGCAAGTATTATAGCAACTGCCAGCTACCCAAAATTCAATGTCACAAATTTATGACATCACAAAATAATGTCTACTCAGGAAGGTGAAAATAAATAGAAGTAATGATGACAATTCTCTCTATTTGTAATAATACAAGAAATGACCTTGGAAGACCAGCCAAAGAGTTGCTGCCTATGGACTGGTCAGATAAGAGGGAGTTAACTCGTGGACTTCAATTCCCAGAATTCCTGAGCCAGCCATGCTGGCTCAGGAATTCTGGGAGTTGAAGTCCATGAGCCATGCTGGCTCAGGAATTCTGGGAGTTGAAGTCCATGAGCCATGCTGGCTCAAGAATTCTGGGAGTTGAAGTCCATGAGCCATGCTGGCTCAAGAATTATGGGAGTTGAAGTCCATGAGCCATGCTGGCTCAGGAATTCTGGGAGTTGAAGTCCATGAGCCATGCTGGCTCAGGAATTCTGGGAGTTGAAGTCCATGAGCCATGCTGTCTCAGGAATTCTGGGAGTTGAAGTCCATGAGCCATGCTGTCTCAGGAATTCTGGGAGTTGAAGTCCATGAGCCATGCTGTCTCAGGAATTCTGGGAGTTGAAGTCCATGAGCCATGCTGGCTCAGGAATTCTGGGAGTTGAAGTCCATGAGCCATGCTGTCTCAGGAATTCTGGGAGTTGAAGTCCATGAGCCATGCTGTCTCAGGAATTCTGGGAGTTGAAGTCCATGAGCCATGCTGTCTCAGGAATTCTGGGAGTTGAAGTCCATGAGCCATGCTGGTTCAGGAATTCTGGGAGTTGAAGTCCATGAGCCATGCTGGCTCAGGAATTCTGGGAGTTGAAGTCCATGAGCCATGCTGGCTCAGGAATTCTGGGAGTTGAAGTCCATGAGTCATAAAAGAGCCGAGGTTGCCTACCCCTGAACTAGACATAGGAAACAATTTTTTCCCTTGGCCATCGCTTGGCTAAACACCTAATTCTCACAGAGCTGTCTAATATCTATGTATACAGTCAACGTATGACCACAATTGAGCCCAAAATTTGTTGCTAAGTGAGAAATTTGTGAAATGAATTTTGCCCCATTTGACGACTTTTCTTGCCACATTTGTTAAGTGAATCACTGCAGTTGTTAAATTAGTACATGGTTGTTAGCGTAAATCTGACTTCCCCATTGACTTTGCTTGTCAGAAGATTAGTGATCACATGACCCCGGAACACTGCAACCATCATAAATGTAAGTCAGTTGTCAAGCAGCCCAATGTAAATCATGTGAGCATGGGGATGCTGCAATGGTCATAAATGTGAAAAATGGTCAAGTCACTTTTTTCAGTGCCGTTGTAACGTCGGTCACTTAGCAAACTGTTGTAAGTTAAGGACTACCTGTATTTACTGATGTAGTATGACGGTAGCATTATTATCCTTCTTACCTTCTTTATTAACTCCTCTTATACTGTAGGTAAGATTATTATGATTATTCTACTGTTGCTTTGCATGTACACTTTGAGCTTCTGCACCAGAGACACTAATCACACTTGGCCAAGTTAAGTTATTCTCCTCTTCTCTCCCCTTCCCTTCCCTCCCCTCCCCTCCCCTTTCCTCTCCTCTCCTCTCCTACCCTCCCCTCCCCTCCCCTACCCTACCCCACTCCACTCTATTCTAATTTATTGTATATATTATAATATAAAAATAATAAAATTATGATTAGTTACACAGTCAGCCAGATGTTTAGACAGGATTTGTCATTTTTTGTCTACCTTTTAAGTCCTTCCCAAGAGACTGGGATAGACAGATGCTGTTGTTTGATGATGTTAAAGGTATCATCACAGGGTGACACTTACTGTTCCAAGTAAAGCTGCCTTTTGCAATTGACTGATGGGTATTTCATCAATGCCGATGGTGTTCACATAGTGCTCCAGATGTATGACTATGACTATACTTTTTTTCCTACCAGGAAAGGTGAAATAGAATTGGAATTGGCAAAAATCTCCCTGGAGCGAGATTCGCTGAGCCAACAGTTGCTGCGTGTCATTCGCCAGAAGATGGCACTTACTCAGGAGCTGGAAGCTTGGCAAGTGAGTAAGCAGATATGAGAACCATCAGGAAACATGTCCTCCTGAGGTTTAACTGTTAATCCGTTTGCAAGCTGTGAACCATGTGTCAGGAACTGTAACAGTCCTGATGCCTCCTTTTTTAAAAAACCCACTCAGATACAGCTTTGGCTCCTTCAACATTTCCTCGGTTCCAGATGCATTTTGTGACATAGCTGAATGGAGTGTGGGGCTGCATCCCACCTGCATTCCAGGTTCACTGAATGAATCTCATCCCTTTTCAAATAGGCCCCTTTTTTGGGGGGGGGGGAGAGGAAGGCTCAATGATGGGATATAAAAGGGGAGCTTGCAGGAAAGCAAATGCAAAAAGAAATATTTACTGAAGAATAAAGGTAGTCTTCAACATACGACCACAACTGAGCCCAAAATTTATGTTGCTAAGCGAGACATTTCTTAAGTGAGTTGTGCCCCCATTTTGCAACCTTTCTTGCCACAGATGCTAAGTGAATTACTACAGTTATTAAGTTAGTAACACAGTTGTTGAATGAATCTGGCTTCCCCATTGACTTTGCTTGTCAGAAGGCCGCAAAAGGTGATCACATGACCCTGGGACTCTGCAACCGTCATAAATATGAATCAATTGCCAAGTGTCTGAGTATTGATCACGTGACCACAGGGCTGCTGCAACGATCATAAGTGTGAAAAATGCCCATAAGTCACTTTTTTCAGTGCTGTTGTAACTTCAAACGGTCACTTAATGAAAAGTTGTAAGTTGAGGACTAGCCATAGTTAAAAACAAATGAGTTATAGCAGGGGTCTTCAAACTTGGCAACTTTAAGATTTGTGGACTTCAACTCCCAGAATTCCTCAGCCAGCCAGGGCTGGCTGAGGAATTCTGGGAGTTGAAGTCCACAAGTCTTAAAGTTGCCAAGTTTGAAGACCCCTGAGTTATAGGAAGGCGAATGCTAAGATGTTATTAGTGCAAAAACAAAAAATGAAGTGGAGTGGGAAGGTGTAGCAGGAAATTTAGAAACAAATAGGTGAGGAGTTAAAATATTTTTTCTGCTTCTGTGTTGCATTTGTGATGCTACACATGAAACCAGCTAAGCATTGAATGGTCTGAAGCTTGGGCCAGCAGAGCAAACCCTGAGCAAAAATTACTGATAGAGCTCTGGATCGCAAGTACGTGCCTCTAACTATATGAGGAAAGGAAACATCACTTTCAGAATAATGCAACGGTATTGTTGGGGGCCAAATTATGACATTTTGTTTCCGCAAAGCCAAAATGAAATCACAGGAATCTTTTTTTGTCTTTGCTTTGAGCATTTGGGGCAGAAATACTTTACAAATGGGAGTCTTCAAGAGCAAAATTGTGTCTTTTGTTCAAAATAACAGGTGGTCCTCAACTTACAACCATTTGTTTAATGATGGTTCAAAGTTGCAAAGGCACTGAAAAAAGTGACCTAGAAGCAGCCCTCACACTTGCAGTACAACTATCACAGCATCCCCACTGCCACATGATGAAAATTTGGCCACTGTTTATGTGAGGAAAGAACTATGGTGGCACGGTGTTTAGAATGCAGTATTGCAGTCTAACTCTGCCAACTGCTAGCAGTTTGATCCTGACCAGCTCAAGGTTGACTCAGTCTTCCATCCTTCCGAGGTCTGTAAAAAGAGGACCCAGATTGTTGGGGGCAATATGGTAAACTGCTTAGAGAGGGCTATAAAACACTGTGAAGCAGTATATAAATTTAGGTACTACTGCCAATGATATTGATGGTTGCACTGTCCCAGGATCATGTGCTTTTCATTTGCAACCATTTCCCAGCTGGCTTCTGACAAGCAAAGTCAACAGGAGAATCCGAATTTACTTAACAACTGCATGATTAATTTAAAATCTACAGCGTCACTTAACAACTGTGGCAAGGAAGGTCACAAAATCAGGCATGAATCACTTAACAACGTCCTTGCTTAGCAATGGAAATTTTGTTCCCAAATGTGATCATAAGTTGAGGACTTATCTGTACTGTAGGCAGATGAACCTTTTAAATGAAAATGGGTTGGGACAGCATATCTGATATTGCTTCAGAGAGACTCAAGAGAGGATTTCTGGATTCTACTTCATGTTGATCAGAATATTCTTTTTTTCTTTGTGACCTACAGGATGATATTCAGTATATTATTCACCAGCAACTTCTCCAGAAACAGCGGGAAGAACGCCATTGCCTCACCCCGCCACCAAAGCCACCAACACAAGGCAAGGGTCCTGAATTATTTCGGGCTGGTGCCAGCATTCCCAGTGGTACAGGCTTCTTCTCATTCTTCCGGAAAAGCTGAATTGTTGAAGGTGTGGAACTTCTAATATGGCTGAAGGCAGGATAGTGGGCGAAGGGAATGCAAAGGCTGGACTGGATGATAAGAGATGCAGTAGAGGTTTCTATGAGGGACATATTGGAGGGACAAGGGCTGAATGAGTTCAAGAGCTTTATAGAATGGAATGGAATAGAATAGAACAGAACAGAACAGAATAGAACAGAACCGAATAGAATAGAGCTGAAAGGGACCTTGGAGATCTTCTAGTCCAGCCTCCTGCTCAAGCAGGAGAATCTCCTATACCATTTCAGACACGTCTCTTCTTAAAAACCTCCAGTGATGGGAGTGCCCACAATTTCTGGAGGCAAGCTGTTCCACTGGTTAATTGTCCTCACTGTTCATAGGTTGACCCCCTCCTTTGTAGCAGCCCCTCAGATACTGGAATGCTGCTATTCTGTCCTACCTAGTTCTTCTTTTCTCTAGACTGGCCATACACAAATCCTGCAACCGTTCTTCGTATATTTTAGTCTCCAGGCCTTTAATCTTCTTAGGTGCTCTTCTTTGCACTTTTTCCCAAAGTCTCAACATCTTTTATGTAATGTGGTGACCAAAACTGGATGCCAGCTAAAGTCATGCAATTGAATGCGATTCTCTTTAATAGTTACCGGTATAGTGGATTTGTAAAACACTAACTTTGGGTCTGGTTTCTCTTTTAAAACACATCTAGGTTTCCAACAACAGCTGGCCAATCTCTGCTCCAAGTTCTAAGATCACCCTCTTCTGGCAAATTGGGGACATGACTGAGCTAAGTGGATTATTCCAGAACAGCAAGCCAGTAGCCTGGAGACATCCACAGGTCCCAGCGCCCTGCACTTGATGGAATAGGCCTAGAAACTTGGCTTCTGATCCTCCACTTTTTCTTAGAATCAAGACTGATGGGAAGGGGCATATTAATCTCACGTTCCTCCCTTGCAAGAAGAAATAGATTACAGGTAGTTCTCAACTTACAACCATTGATTTAGTAACCGTTCAAAATTGCAACAGCACTGAAAAACAGTGGCTTATGATCATTTTTCACACTTATGACCATTGCAGCATCCCCTTGGTCATATGATCAAAATTCGGAGGCTTGGCAACTGGTTCATATTTATGACGGTTGCAGTGTCCCGGGGTCATGTGATCAAAAGTCAATGGGAAAGCCACACTCACTTAACAACCATGTTATTAACTTAACAACTGTGGCAAGAAATGTCATAAAATGGAGCACAAGTCACTTAACAACGGTCTTGCTTAGCAATGGAAATTTTGGGCTCAGTTGTGGTCGTAAGTCAAGAACGACTCGTAGTGTTCACTTCTTTCAAGTGGGAGACAACTGCTGGCAAAACAGGAATGTCCCTGGAGGGGGAAATGAAAAAAAATCAAGATGGCAGCTTCATTCATGCAACGGCCATCTTGAATTTTTGACCCACATCCCATGGATACCCTCTGGAAAACTGTTCTTTGCAGCAGACTCTATTTTACTTTTCATGATTAAAAAAAAAGTACCCGTATATTCTGGCGTATAAGGTGACCCGGCGAATAAGACGACCCGTCTTCGGCGCCGAGTCGCAGGCCTAGAAAGTCGTCTTATATGCCGGAAACTACTGTTATTTCCAGCGCATAAGACGACTCGACGTATAAGACGACCCCCTACTCCGGTGCCGATTTTAACGCTTGCAAAAGTTGTCTTATACGCCGGAAAGTATGGTAATTTTCCCTTGGGTTGAGGTCAGCTGCTAATAGCTATGTAGACACATGTGTTTTCTGGGAAGCATTGAGTTCAGCCTCAAGGTTCTCTTCTTGCCTTAAAGAATGAATACCAAAGAATGTATCCAAGGTTTTGATATTTAAATAGGATAGATAATGGGAAATAAAGAGAATTTGGGCCAAATTCTTAAAATCCTGGCAGACAGAGGACAAAGCATTTTGTCAATTCCATCTGAAATAGTGCACAGGACCATGGGCATAAGAATATCCTTTCAAAAGGCACCAGTATTATATTCTGCAATGCATTAGAGCAGAGGTCTTCAAACCTGACAACTTTAAAACTTGTGGACTTCAACTCTCAGAATTCCCCAACAGCATGGCTGGCTGAGGAAATCTAGGAGTTGAAGTCCACAAGTCCTAAAGTTGTCAGATTTGGAGATCCCTGCATTAGGATGTCCTCTTCAATACGATCAACCTGTAGCAGCTTCCCTCTGGCAGTTTTGGGACTGCAAATTCCAGAATTCCTAGCCAATATTGCCATATTTCTGGGAATTCTGGTTGCGGTGGCCCAATATTTTTCAGCTTTGACAACTTTTTAAAGATGTGTGGACTTATAACTCCCTGAATTCCCCAGCTAGCCATGCTGGCTGAGGAATTCTGGGAGTTGTAGTTCTACACATCTCAAAGTTGCCATAGTTGAGAAACGCTGCTATAGCCCCTATTCATCAGAAGAACACCAAATTGGGGAAGGCTGATTGAGGTTTTCTCTATAACTTGCTTTTTTATAAAGTATACACCGGTATATTTGTGGCTCTTAAAAAAATCTGCATATATTTTCGCAGATAAGATTCAGTCATGTTGCCGGAATACCAGCAGGGGGCAGTAATGCTCTTTCCTCTTCCTCCTCCCCTTTCTCTTCCTGTTGCATGCAAACAAGAAACAAGACACTATTTTGCACGTATAATTTCTATTTAACATACAGAGGAATATATATATGTCAGGTTTCAATACTAAAGATGACAGGCCGGATCCAAACAGAGATTTATTTATCTATGAAGAAGAAATTCTATATTGTTATAGAGTATTTTTGTTGTAAATTTGTTAATACAGATTTAATAAAGATTTAATTAAATTGTGGAACTTGCCCTTCACACTTCTCTGACGCTTCTGTTGGAAACTTGGGCTTTACAACACTGAGCAGGGGATTCTGTGAAACCAGATTCTTCAACAAATCAAGACGGGAAAGAATCTAACAATATACTCAGGAACCTCAGAGGAGAATTTATGACCAGACTTTGGAATTCTGCTCATGCCGCAGTGACCTCATAGTTATTTACCATCTCATAAGGGTTTGCATCTTTGCTAGTCCTAGTCCAGCTGCTTCCTGAAAGATATGCAAATACATTTTGGGCTCAATTGTGTTCATAAGTCAAGGCCAACCTGTAACAAGCAAGTGCAACACACCTTCCTTCTATTTTCCCCACAACAACCCTGTGAGGTGGGTTGGTCTGAGCAAGAGTTCAAAGTCACCTGGCTGGCATGGTCTCCTGTTTCCTATTGGAAGAACTGCGGGACTTAAGTACAAAATCCATTCAATACAGTAACTGACATAATTGCTGCCTAGAGTCACTCTGTGTGAGTTGGGTGGTTATATACATTTGTTAAAAAATAAATAATAAACAAATTGAGGCCAGTGAAAGGATTCTGCATCCTTCTGTTCTAACTCTACATGTTTGAACAAAACTGACCATATACACCTGAAAAGCATAATCTGGGGTGAGTTTAGATAAGTCTTCCATTTCACTTGCACAATGTCACACACACACACACAACACACACAACACACACACACACACACACACACACACACACACACACACGCAGCATCTAAATTGCTTCGGATTCCCTGCTGGGTCTTTCAGAATTACAATGGCACTGAAAAATGTGACTTCTGACTGTTGTAGCATCCTGATGGCCATACGATCAACATTCGAACTCTTGGCAACTGGCATGTACTTATGACAGTTGCAGCATCCTGGGGTTACATAATTGCCTTTTGCCACCTTCTGACAAGCAAAGTCAATGGTGAAGCCAGATTCACTTAACAGCCATGTCAGTAATTTAACAACTGCAGTAATTTACTTAACAATTGTGGCAAGGGCATAAAATGGGATAAAACTTAAGTAACAACCGTCTTGCTTAGCAACAGAAATTTTGGACTCAATTGTGGTCGTAAGTCGATGACTACCTGTATTTGGGATAGTTCTGTGTCTGTGTTGTTTTTAATCTTGATAGCTTTTTTGTTATTATTGGTTAGCAGGAAAACTCCCCCCCCCCAGAATCCTAATCTTTAAAATAAAGGTTGGGAACAAAATAATGCCAGTAGGGATCAAAAGAGAAAGCAGAGTTTGCCAAGAATTTCTTAAGGAGTAAAAAGTTATACTGTTACCACTTGTAAGGATTTAAACCAAAGTGACCTCTTTTTTTTAATTTTTCCTTTGAATGAGACTTGAATACAAGCTCACAGACAACGAGTCTGCCCTTTGATTTTACAGTAGTGAAAGTTGTGATTCTAACTGTGCCTCAGTTCCTGGGCTGTGGGCACCCTGGTCTTTCTGCGCCAGCTGTATCCCTCTGGGTGGCATTTTTCTTTTCTCATGGTGGACCTAAGCAGAGAACAATGTGCATCTCTTGCAAATCCGAGGGGGCGGCTGCAGTTGGCATCCCAATCCTCCCGAGAGGAATGCAGAACGGATGGGTCAAGCAGATGGTCAAAGCAAACAGCCACAGGCATGGATAATCCGTACCCCACCCCTTCATTCCTCTCTCAAACTAGGAAGCTGCATTTAGATCAGTGCTTTTCAATCGCAACAGCTTTAAGATGTGTGGACTTCAACTCCCAGAATTCCCCAGCCAGCCAGCTATGCTAAACTAAGCTATGCTGGCTGGAGAGTTCTGGGAGTTGAAGTCCACACAATTTAAAATTGCTGAGATTGAGAAACACAGATGTAGATTATTTGGACACCTTTGGACGCTTCAGATCCTAGGAAGGAGGGGGGGGGGAAAGGACCCTGAGCTGGGGATCCTGTCAATGCCTTCTTCTGCCAAAAGTTAAAAAAATCTGGTTTATTTCTGGTACCTTGGGGGGGACACACTCACCCTACTTTCTCAGCAGTAAAAGAGAAGCGGTTTACCACTGACTTCTGCAAAGCTTTCCTCCCCCCTTCCCAGGCTAGTCTTGGGATTTCCTTGTGGTCTCCCATCCATCAGCTCCAATTCCACTGAACTGTTGGAGATCAGCCAAGGTGCTGTCCCCACCTGGGGCTCTTTTCTGCCAAACGTTGCTCCAAATCCAGCCAACTCCAGCCACCAATTTGGAAGCTGCGACCCACAGTTTCCCGGTTGAGATGCTACAAAGGAAATTGCTGTGCCCAGTGCCCAGTGCAGCTGTTAAAAGGCGAAACCTCGTCCAGAGCCGCGTATTTGGATGCAGCCAAATAGACACACCCTGAAATGTATGTTTCCCTTTTATTAATGCGTGCCACCTTCCGCTGGGTTGTATCCCCTCCCTTCCCAAATGATTTTTTTATTTTTTTTCCCTTTGCCTCATTTCCCCAGGTCGTTACTCTTTATTTTTCATTAAGCTTTCTTCCCTATGTCGACCATGCTCGGAAACCCACCCATCTCCACGAAGCCCGCCCATCTCTTCTCCGCATCCTCGTTGAGCGGGGGGGGGGGAGAGGGGAGAGGAAATAAATCCTGGTTTTGACCCTGGGACGCAAACCTTGGCGGCCTTTTTTCCGGTTGCTGCCATCCTTAAGCAGGCAGCCTCGAGATGCATGCGATTCCCATTCCCTGCAGGCCGGGGAGGATAGTTATTGTAGTCCCCTTCGTCTGTGGGCGCCAGGTTGGGGCCCGCTACCGCATGCAGCATTTTAACCCTCGAAGAGGGAGGTCCGGCTGGACTGCTCAGGCTGCACGTCCGAATAAATAAATCTTGTATCAATTAATTAAAGAAAGAAAAAGTGATCTGCTTCTTTAACCTGGAGGACCCCTCGCGCGGTCATACTCACTCCACCCCGCAAAGGGGCGGGCCCCGCGACTCCTCCAAGCCCCGCCCCCTCTTTATTCCTCCTTCTTGCGGCCCCGCCCAGCCCTCGGCCGCGGTCGCTAAGCGCCGCCCATTATAGGACAGGCGCCGCCCATTACAAGGCGGGCTTCGCCCCTCGCTCTCCCTCAGCCTGGTTCGAATGCTACTCTGGCGTTCCAGCGGGCAAGCCGCGGCCGTCGGAGGGGAGAGGCAGGAAGCCGCGGGCTGCGGGGACCTGTCGGTCATCTGATCCCAGCCAGAGCAGCGTCCGGCAGGGATCGAGGAGGGAAGGCAGCCGCCGCCGCCACCCGCGCAAGACCCGCCTAGCCTGGCAGCTGATTCAGCGTTGTGCTCCTTGGCTCCCGTCGCAATGCCTCCTGCAGGCCGCCTTGCGCCCGGCTCTCCTCGTCTCCTTCATTGATTCCTGCACAGCGGCGTCTTTCCTGCTCCCTTCCTTTGGCCTTTCCTTCTCCTGGCTTCTTTTCTTGGAAAAAAGAGAAGGCCGGGTACTTGGGGAAACTTTGCGATCTTTCCTCTTGGCCAAACCCTTCTAGGGAAACTCCCAACCTGCTTCCTTCCAGCCTCGAGTAGGTGTTCTGATCCCCCCCCCCCCGTTTCTCCTTCTTTTAAAAAGCTGATCGGATCATCATCTTCATCATGGCAAGTGGTTTTCTCTGATGCTACTACACTCCTTTCGATACTGTGCATTTGTTTTCTGGAGCCAGGCAGATCTTTTTGGAATGGAGATCTAAATTCTCACCTCCTTGCTATCCTTTTTCTGGATATCCTTTAAACACTAACTACCTTTGTGTCCTGCTTTCGTTTTTAACAGTCAGAATTATTGCTTAAGGGAGTTGAATCTCGTTCTCTTTTAAAAGCTGGGATTAAAAGACAGAAGAAGAAGAGGAAACACGTTTCTTCCTCTCCCTGCCTTTTTTTTGTTGTTGTTCTCAGTTACAATATTTTGGCTTTTGGGTAAGCCAAGAATTTGGGAAAAATCCTCCCCCCCCCCCCAATTGGCTCAGAAATATTGAACGATTTCTGTCTGTTTCCCTTCCCGTGACAAGCGAAGCCAAGATTTTAGTAAACCGTGATTCCGGTATTGGAGGACAAAACTCCAGAACAATCAACGCACATCCTACAGTTTGGCAGAAGAAAAAAGTGCTTTTGGATAGACAAACTGGGCTGTGTTCCTCTGTCATTTGACCTCAAGGGAAGGAAAACATTTGGAAGAAAAAAAGTTTTGACATCTTCCCAGCTGAGGCTAAGTTACAAACATTTCCATGTTCTTTACAGTAACTCTTTGGAGGAAAAGACAGTGAATCCTCGTGGATTGACTCAGTTCCCCTTCTTGGAAATTGTTGGCAATCTTTGGACCCTGTTCGGCCTTGGGAAGCTGTGATGGGGCTGTGAGGCCAAACTGATTTCCCACTGGATCCTGTGGGAGTTGAGGAAAAGGATCCTGAGGGGCTGAGAGAAAAAGCTCTCCAGGGAGGAACTGAGTGCAAGATAAAAGCAGTGACGGAAGCTGACCCAGCACTGTGAATGGCTGCCAAGGATTATGACCACTTGTTTAAACTGCTTATCATCGGAGATTCGGGTAAGAATGTTTGTTTTTTCATTGTCATCCATCTTCAATCTTATCTAACTCTGTCCTTGGGGTATTTGTTAGATTTTTTTTATCCTGCCTTTATTAATTTATAAGTAACTCAAGGCAGAGAACATACATAATACAGGTAGTCCTTGATTTACAACAGTTCGTTTAGTGATAGTCCAAAGTTACAACAGCATTGAAAAAAATGGCATGACCGTTTTTCACACTTATGACCACTGCAGCATCCTCATAGTCATGTGATCAAAATTGACTCATATCTATGACTATTCCACTGTCCTGGGGTCATGTGATCCCCTTTTGTGACCTTTTGAGAAGCAGAGTCAATGGGGAAGTCAGATTTGCTTAACAACTTAACAACTGCAGTGATTCACTGAACAACTGTGGCAAGAAAGGTAGTAAGATGGGGCAACTTAATGAATGTTTTACTTAGCAACAGAAATTTTGGGCTCAATTGTGGTTGTAAGTCGAGAAATACCTGTTCTCTTTTTTCTTCCTGTTTTTCCCACAACAACAACCCTGTGAAGTAAGCTGGGCTGAGAGAAAATGATTGGCCCAATGTCACCTCAGTCAAGTGCCCAAGGCAGGACTAGAACTCACATTCTCCTGATTTCTTGGCCAGCATCTTAACCACTATACTAAACTGCCTCTTGCTGGTTTCCTTTCCCTCCAAATATTATTTCAACCATTTTGCTGTCTTTTCTGGACATTTTCAGATCTTCCTAGCACTTTTCATGCTAGACTTATCTGTTACTCTTTTGCCATTTTCATTCTGAACACTTAGCCTGGTTCTTTCCAATGTTTCTGCCTTCGTAGACTTTTATGTCAATCTTCCATTTTCTTCCTCCAGTTCATTGTGAGCATTTGGGATGGGCTGAATGCGGCCCTCCCTCCATATATAATCTCCTTCTTACCTGTCCTTTATTTTTGTTCTTTTGTTCTTCCCCACCCTTTCTGCCTCGCTTTCATTTCCGCAAATATCTCTGGGCAGAATAAAGATCCACACAACTCTGAGAGGAAATCATTGGACCAATGATTTACTCCTTAATTCTACCTCTCTTCTGGTTCTTCACTACTTTTAAGATACTCTAATTCTCTATAGCAGTGTTTTCCAACCTTAGCAATTTTAAGATGTCTGGATTTCAATTCCCAGAATTCCCCTCCTTGCATGGAATTCTGGGAGTTGAAGTCCAAACATCTTCAAGTTACCATAGTTAAACATTGCTTTATAGACTCCACTGACTTACAGAAAGATCCATTAAATATGTTAAAGGCTGAATTTTATTTTAGTGACATAATAATGGTTTTCTTTAAGACTTAATTCAAATTATAGAATTCCCAGCATCCTTTGAGCTGTTGTTTTCTCAACCCTGGAATGTTTTCATTTGGCTTTAGTGATGAGGGAACAATCTTGGTAGTTTCCTTCCTATGTTTTTTATTGTCTTGAGATTGTTGACCTATCATCTCCAAGTGGATGGCCTCCAGGAATGCTGGGACTACACAGTCAGACTGACTTTGAATTCTGGGAATTGTAGTTCAAGTGCATCTGAAACTAAGAATGGCTGATTATCATTCCTCAAATTGTTTGTAATACTATTTCCTGCATTTATTAAATATATAGGTCATTTCCTGTGTAGTTATCTTAAAGCAAAGCACAAATGTACAAATAAAAGCTATTGATGTATTATTAACATTTAAGGATGACATTAAAAAACTGAATAGCAAAATAAAAATGCGAGTGTAGAAGCAGGGTGGAAAACTAAGATTAAGCAGGATGGACTTTTCGATTTTCACCCGATTATAAGAGCCCTTTCTCATTGGCCATATGTTTCACATCCTGTTATAATCCTGTAGCTCTTTACCTAAGGGTAAGCTGAATTTACTCAAAGATATTAACTTTTAATCATGTACAGCAGCCGTATCCAACCTTTTGCCTTGCCTGGGCCGCATTAAGTGAAGAGGAATTCTTTTGGACTGCATATAAAATATATAATACAGTTAATAAGATGGCTCAGTAATTAAAGATGCTGAGCTTGTCAGCTGGAAAGCTTACAACCTGGGTTCAAAGTAACCTTTCGTTACTTGCCCCAGTTCTTGCCAGCCTACCAGTTCAAAAGCATATAAATGCAAATACATAAATAGGCACCACTTCGGTGGAAAGCTAACAGTGCTCTGTGCACCTTGACGTATAGTCATGTTGGCCACATGATCATGGAAGCATCTTCGGACAACACTGACTCCCTTCCCTAAGAAACAGAAATGAGCACTACCCCCTAGAGTTAGACACAATTGGACACAGGAAAACCTTTACTTTATAAATAATAATAAAAGTTTATGATCTTGTGGGGCCATATTACTAGCTGTCCAGGGCTGCATGCAGTCTGTGGGCTGCAGGTTGGCTACCCCCCCCCCATGTACAAGATTGCACTGCTACTTTCTTTATATAGACTTTTCAGCTCTTTAAAGAAAGTTAGAAATTAAAGAAATCAGGCAGGTGATTTGGGGCCTTCCAGATAACTTAGATTTTGTCCCTCGCCAGACTCAGCCAGCTTGGCCAAATCCAGAGATGGATTTATAATCCAAAACATCTGGAAAGCAGCAGATTGCATATGTTCGGGCAAAACTATTCCATTCAACTCATCTGGTTAAGTCCCATCTTTCTGTTTCCCAGGCTGCATTTTGAGCTCTAGTGTTCTTTGGCCATAGCTTAAAAGCTTGATTTCCTGTTAAAGATGCGGCTGCCAGCAGGGAGAACTGGGGGATTTGCTGGGGTGCACCTGCTGTGAAATTTGAGGTATTAACACGGATGTGGAATTCCTCAATTTAGGATGAATGATTCATACAGATGGTATGGCAGCTTGTAGACACATTGTGGTCTGCCACAAACCGCTGACCTCACACAGCTGCTTGGGAAAGTTTGAGAATGAGAATGAGGTGGGAACTCTACCTTCCAGCTGACTCACTGCAAAACCAAGAAGTGGAAAGGAAGACTGGTTGGGGCAGACTGGTCCAGTTGAAGCTGAGCTGATCTTCCACTGCTAGCACAGGTAGCCCTCATGTTACAATTATTTGTTTAGCGACTATTCAACAGCACTGAAAAAAAAAGACGTACGATCAGTCATTGCCCTTACAGCATCCCCATGGTCACGTGATCAAAATCCTGGGAACCAACATATATTTATGACAGTTGCAGCATTCCAAAACCAAGTAATCACCATTTGTAACCTTCTCAGCCAACAACCAAAATCAATGGAAGAAGCTGGATTTGCTTAACAACTGCATGATTCACTTAACAATTGCAGCGATTCGTTTAACAGCTGGGGCAAAAAATGTAGAAGTGGGCGCGACTCGCATAACAATTGCCTTGCTTACAGCAGAAATTCTGGAAACAATTGTGGTTGTAAGTTGAGCACTACTTGTAGTACAATCATCCAGAAATCTTTTCCTCTGAATAGTCACACGGGTGTTGCAAACGGAACTGTGACAGAACTGGATTACTCTTCCTTTGTTATTATATTCTGTTTGAAAAGGCCCCCACATGGTCTTAGCTTCTGTCTCCAGTTGGAAAGCCCAGAGAGATGAAGATTTCAGCGCCTCACTTTCTCTTTAGCCCTTTGCAAGTGGTATGGCTTATATTCTCACTTTAGGGTTTTGGGAAGTTTTAATGGCTTCCTCTGTTTGGTTCTGCTCTTGATAAAGCTGATTTTGAGGCGGATCAAAGTAAGATTAGTAGAAGCAGCAATCTTGGTATGAGTTCATGCATATTTTAATGTATTCAAGAATCAGGGTTTGCTCCAACCTGGCAATCATTTCAATCTATTTTGCAGCTACTAAGATTGTGGGCTGAGCAGGGACAAAAATAGCCAGGGAAATGATTGAAGCCTAGGAAATGGGCTCCTTGTCAATCAACATGAGTGCTGATTTACCACCAGCTTATCAGATATTTAAAAGCCTTTGGCAGCATAGGGAAACAACAGCCAGTGAGTTAATATTCTGCAATCAACATCCAATCAATAACTAAAAAGCCACACACAACCAGGCACTACATAAATACTACACATAGAATAACCCAAAGCACACATTCTGCTAGAGAGAAGTTTACTGAGGATGGACTCCACCATAAGTCTGAAAGCTCGAAAGAATAAACCTCTGGTCCTAGACCCAAATTGGATCCTGCAATATTATCCTGAGACACGTATATTTGCCTTCATTCGTGAAGAAATTGATTTGTGTAGAAATACAAATGAAGTCTCCGTCAGTTGAAAGTAGATGCTGACTGCAGAAGAGAGAAAAGTTGATGAAATGATTTTGCTGGTGCAAAAAAGGCTGTTGATCTCTGGCGATCACATTTCAGTGGTGGAGGATCCCAGGTTGTTTGCTGGTTTTTCTGGGATCTGCTTGGATCAGGTTGCTCCAAGACTTGTCTGATTTACAGCAGATTTTAGGATTTAGATGCCTGCCACGTAGTCATGGCCCTTAGTACAAATAGGCATGCTAAATCAGAGGGACTGGCTAAGAGGTATTTGGGGGCAGAAACAGGTTAACCTTTATTAAAATGTATTCATTGGCAGATGGGGGCAGGGGATCTTCTATTCATGTGATAATTCACATAATCAAATCATTATGGGAAGAATGTAAATTGGGTCATTGGCATCAGTTTTCATTGTTTGCATAATTATGTCATTGTGCTAATCAGTGTGGAAAATTGGTCCGCTCCATGTGAAGGCCATTGAAAGAGTCTGAAAGAGGGCAGATATTTTAGAACTTTAAATATGGGCTGGAGGGCGTATTTCTTAGGCGGGTCTAAGAAAACAGTTCAATTTTGGTCACCATGATATAAAAAAGATGAGATTCTAGAATGAGTACAGGGAAGAGCAACAAAGATGATCAGGGGGCTGGAGGCTAAAACAAACAAGGAACAGTTGCTGGAACTGGGTATGTCTAGATCAGGGGTAGGCAACCTTGGCTCTTTTATGACTCAACTTCAA